AACAAAGAATTTTAACACACATGGAAACATAAAAATATAATGTACTCTGTCCATCATACAACAAAGCAATAACAATCAAATTGGTTCTTAACAAATGGTACATGGTTAACTTATGACTTTTTCCTTTGTGACTGGCAAGGGGTAAATATTCAAGATAAAATGTCTGATGTGTGGTAAAGGTATGAGGGGGGAAATCTTCTCCTAGTCTGAAGAGTCAATAAACGACTACGAAAACATTCCACGACTTATACTGCAGTTTTTCACCAATTGTTCTTCCAGGGTGCATGGCTACACTAAATGATATTGGCCCACACAATCACCAGTTCACTTTCCACACCACTCTGGAACTCAACTACGCCATGCACCCACTGTCCATGCCGAAGATGCTCACTCCGTCAGAACTCATGGGTGTGAGCGGCGAGTTCAGCATGTGCTGCTGGTGCTGGTACAGGTGGGTGGGGGACTGGTGGAGGATGCCCGTCGGGCACGGCGGGCACGGCGGGCACCCCGGCCCGGGCAGCGGCGCCCCGACGGCCATGCCGTGCTGGGCGGGGCTGGGCGCGCTGGAGCCGGGGGTGGACGCCGGCGTGTCGAGGTGCAGCGTGTTGGGCCGGCCGTAGGGGTGGTCGACGCCGTGCTCCAGGCCGGGGTGCTGGTACGCCCCGTACACGTCGAGGGGGTCGTCCAGCCCCGCGAGCAGGGGGTCGTCCACGATCTCGTGCTTGGTGACGCCGGGGAAGTACGGGGTGAGCGCCTCCTCGTCGGCCGCCCCCGCCTCCTGGCCGTGGCAGTACTGGGTCATGAGCACGTCGGCGTAGGCGCTGGGCGTGTGGTGGGCGGGCGCGGCGCCGCTGGGCGCGGCCGGCGAGTACGTCGGGCTGTACAGGTCGTAGTGCGGCGGCGGCGGCGGCGCGCCGGCCGGCTGGTGGACGTGCCCCGGCCGCGTGCACGACGGCGAGTGCGACGACAGCATGTCGACGAGGCGCCGCCGCTGCGTCTCCAGCTCCTGGATCTGCGACTTGAGCTCATAGTTCTGGCTCTCCAGGATCTCCGACTCCTGGTGAACGAGATGTAAAAGGGCAGTTCGTGAAACTGAGATGGTCTTTCACCACCGCTGCTCAACCGCGTCCTCGCCAGAGTCAGACACCCACCTGCACCAGGTTGACGGTGCGCTCCCGCTTCTTGATCCTGCACTTGGTGGCGGCCACCTTGTTCCTCTCGCGTCTCCTCCGCCGCCTCTCCTCGTCCTCTGGAGTCAGCTGCAGACACAATACAGATTTTTGTAAGTTTCGAAAATTTCTCTTCCTACACTTTTACAATATATTCCCACTAAAATCGGATTATTAAAAAGTGTTTTCAACAAAGTGGTCCGTATGAGATCATCCTGAAAGTACGTCCTTTTTGCTGAGATTCATTCAGGAGCTTGGCGCCTGCAAGACGCAGGGTAGGCCAACCCGCAGTGCATCCATGCATTGCAGACAAGTTGTTGCCTACCCATCAGGCGCTCGCACATGCTATACTTGGAATTTGGCAGTTTCGTAACGGCGAATGAAGGACGTGCCTTCTGGCTACAAAAAAACACATTTTCGTTGTATGTGCATTATTCCCTGTTTGGATAACTACCGCGGCTCGACGCCGTTGTCACCTTGTCAAAGAGGTCTTGGAAATGGGCTTTTATGCTTTATACGTCGCTCGGAAACTATTCTTGGGTATTTTCCCAGTCCCTTGTAAAACCGTACATGAAATCTTGATCATAAAAATTACGTTTTCTCACACAGAGGGTTTTATATCACTGAGAACTCGGGCACCGTCCTCTGCTTGTACTCAGAAAGTTATGGTTCGTTTCACCGACATAGTGACTCGTTCTAGACTTAACGGGTCGCCGGTGCAGCACGCGCTCTACTTCGTTACATATATCGCAAAATACGACAAAACGCAAAAAATCTCAATCAAAATTCAATCTTGAAAGCTGATGACACAAGTTTAAGATAGGGCTATGTTCTACTTTTCTCCCATAATTTAGAAATGTTTTTGTTGCCTCAAAAAAATTTCGTATCGGCTGCAGCCATAATGATATCGAGATATGGTATAGCCCTAACACTGAACAATAGTTGTACGGTTTACGGGAAATTTCTCCATTAACCGTAAAATTACAACTCAAAATTGAAAAATTACAAGTACTATGTATCGACCTGGAATTCATCGACAATCAAGATGGGGGTATCATGAATTTACAAAATATTTTGTAAATATTAATTACAAAACATATCGTAAATTTACGAGTACATTTTTCACAATGTGAGCCCTACGACGCTACACCGGGACCCCCGTGAGCCGAGGGCTGAATGCGCCTCCTCACCTCCTCTCCCTTTACCCGCTTGCCGCTGGTCACCGAGTCGTCGTCCTCGTCCCCGGACGCGCCGGACACGGAGGCGCAGGACGTGGCCGACGTGTGCCGCCGCTTGGTCTGCAGCGTCAGCTTGAGGCCCTCCTTGATGAGCTGCGACCGCGTGTGCTGCAGCGACGGCGGCGACCGGCCGGGCGACCCCACTAACGACGAGCCGGACACTGCGGGAGAGAGCAAGAGTGAGGTCGACGCTCATGACGGCCACACGGGCACTTACACTAGTTCCTTACAAAGAGTGGTCTTCATATTTAAGAAGAACTAGGTTTGTAACGTACAAAGGATCTGGAACCACCATGTTACAAACGGATTTTCTTCGTTTTACAAAGAGCACCAGTTTTTCTGAACAAACGCGTGCTAAAGCCGAGCGCTTCGTAATACAAAGGATTTGTTGGTATTATAAAGGTTCCAAATCCTTTGTACGTTGCAAAGAGAAGTTCTTTGAAAGAAATTTACAGTGTAGGTGTGTGAATGCCCACTTAAGGGAGTGCATGTGTGAATTTGTCTTTAAAATTTTTACACACCTATGCCCTTTCCTGTGCCTCTATGCGTACGCGTACGAATGGCGTTCACACACCTACAAGTGTGTGACATTAACATACACTTACCTCCGTTGGGCGAGCCGAGCTCCGGGACAGCCGCCGACGCGTTCGGGGTGGACGAGTTGGCAAACGGGTCTAAGGGGTGGCTCATGGCCATAAGCGAGTTGAGGATCTCGGGCGTCCTGGGCGTCACCCCCTGCGGGTCCACGGACAGCAGCCCCGAGCCCGGGGGGCCGCCGCCGCCGCCGCCGCCGCCCCCGCCAGGGGCGAAGGCCGTGGACACCTTGAGGTTGTACATGGCCGACTTGCGCAACATATCACAAGAGGGCGGCGGGTCACGTCCAGGAAGCCGCCAAACAACTGCTGCACCTAACTTCTCCCGGAAACTGCGGCGCGGTCGGGACGGTCATGTACGCCCCGCGGAGATCCGCCTGCAAACAGAGCAAAAGGTTCAGCGATTAGTTAGCTAGTGCAAAAAGCCGCCAACCGCAACAAAGGGCAAAATGGTCATAGCTGAGCGGGGGAAAAAAATCATGATGAGTGTCGTAAAATTACAATTTAAAATTGCAAATTTGTTGTAAATTTACGAGAGTATTTTTCACGGCAGTAAGAAATACCGATATGAATAAGTATAACTGTTCGAACTGACGAGAAAAAAAAAAATTCGTTGAACTAAACTGGTTATGCAGTTTTTGCTATCGATACAGTTTTGTTATTTCGCCCTCCTAATTTCCTTGCGGCGCCCCCGGCCTCTGTTCCGCACGTGCTGCTCTTGAGCAACGACACACTCCTGCTGCTTTCGGGGACGCCATCACTTTCCACCGCTTCTCCCACAAACACCGAAAGAGAGCGCCCTGAAAGAGAGCGCCAGATGGCATCGCGTCGTGTCGATGGTGTGTCGCAGCCGCTGCTGCCATGCCGGGGCCCGGCCGACCCGATACTTATGTGTCCACTTCGGCCGCTCCGCTGCATTCGTTTGCGAGAAATGAATAACCCACACCACTTCTTCTCTCCTCCTTCGAACATCGAGAGCGGACCGATATAGTTTTCAGGAGCGATAGGGTCGAGCAGTAGTGGTGCAGCTAACTCGCACCCGGACGCCGCTGAGTTACGACAGTGATGCCCGCTGATATATTTACCCCGATAGAACGTTTCATTTTTCACGCAGCCGCACAACAAACAAGATGGGCACAATTAATACCCATCTGCTGGCCCTGTGCCACTCGAGGGAGGCGGGGAAAAAAAGCGGGAGAGAGGAGGAGGAGGGAGCGGTCGGTCGCGGGCGCACAGCCAGCATCCTGCCGGAAACACCACCAACTATCCACACCGAGTTTTTCAGAGCAAAAGGAAAATATTGTCCAAATCGGCAATTTCTGGACACCATAGAATACCTATTTAGAAAAACCAACTTAGAATTTGAGCGTTAAAAGGAAAGAAGTATCGATCGTCATTATTTAAAAATTGCGAAAAAAACACAAACAGACAACAAAACGAGCTGGTATTTTATCATGACAAACACTACTCACAGGGGTACATAGGAACGCGTGTGGTACACCGGGCAATAAATCGCCGGGATCCTCGCACAAGTAGCGTTGATTTAGAGGGAAGGCCGCGCTATGGTAATCGCACTGCCGCATTAGAAGCCTGATGGGCTTTCAGCGAAGTGGAGAAGTGAGGCGTTGTAGCGGATCCTCTATATAGGGGGGCCTCGTGGAAGTGGGAAAGTACAATATGACATATGGTGAGGACACGTACGTTATAATTTATACAGGATATTGTACAGGAAAGTGGAGAATGACAGGTATGTAGGAATAGGAAGAAAAAAAATTCTACTACCATTTTAACAGTAGTTCTTTTTATGGTTTAAAAGCAAATTATCTTTCTAACAGTTATAACAAAAGTAAATTCATTGTGAAAGAAGAATTTCTTTTGATAAAAATGTTTTAAAAAAAATGTATATAGCAACCAATTTTCCTCGCAGCTTGCAAAGAATTTCTTTACAATATGAACAAATTATTTGCAACGTTGCAAAGAGTATAGTTTGCAACTGCGACTGGGAAGAGTGGAAGTGTAGTCGGTCGTAGTCGGGACGAAGGCGAAAGAAGCACGAAACCATAAGCGTCAGGCGGTCTGACGCTGGCCCGGCAGGTCTCCCTTCGAAAGGCTTCTTTGGCTAAACGTGGTTAGATAAAAACCCCTAATTCGATGACGCCCGCCGTGCGGTGTACACGGCTAAGTAGTGGGAGCAGAGCGCGCCGTGTCGCAAGCAAGCCGACCGAGCGCGATGGGCGGGCGCGCGGGCTCTTAAGCTCGAGCGGGGAGCAACATAAGGGCCTTAAAGCCGCAGCAGCGGGGAGATCGCTCTCCCGACCGTCCTCGTAGACGGACTGGACGAGAGACGACACGGCACGGGACGGGCAGAGTCACGTCGCCGCCTGCATTTCGCAACACAATATCTCGTGTGTGCGTCTCGTGTCGCGTCGCGGGCAGGTCGCGGGCAGACTCTGCAGGTGCGCGCGTACGCAGGCTGCACCAGCCCCCTCATGGTGCTCCGCACGACGACGTCCCGCGGGTCCGCGAAAGGAAATAAAGAAGGAATCATCGCATACACACACACACACACACACACACGCACTCACGAATTCACGCGCAGGTGGCCAGTAAATCGCACACAGCGCGCTGCGCACTGAAAAAAAAATACTGTGGTGCTAAGGACAGCTGTAACACCCCCAAGAACATTTTGCTCTTGGATCGGCTTCAAGAACATGCGTTCTTGGAGCCTGTTCTTGGGCTATGTCGTT